TCTCTCTCTCTCTCTCTCTCTCGCTGCTTGCATGTGTCTGTGTGTGAGTGTGTGTCTGTGTGTGCGTGTGTGTATATCTGTGTAGATATCTGAGTGTGTTTGTTTGTGTGTATGTGAGTGTAGGTGTAAGTCTATGTCTGTGTGTGTCTGTAAATGTGCGTATTTGTCAGTGTGTACATATGTATTTGTCTGCCTGTGTATCTGTGTCTACGTATGTCGTGTGTGTCAGTGTGGCTGTATGTGTGTGTGTCTATGAGTGCGCGTCTGTGTGTGTGCATGCATGAGTGTACTGTAACCGTGTGTTTCACGCATTGCCAGGTATTAAAGCACTCCCCCAGACCTATCTCACTTCGCTGTCACACCACTCAAGAGCCCTCGAAAGCTTCCTCAAAGAAAATGCAAATGCCCCGAGATGTCTTTTTGCCGTTCCGCAGTCTCTCCACAGAATGGTAGCAAAAGGTTCTGGGGCTTTTACCGTGTTGTTGGGAGGTGGGCATATCACTCGAGAGCGCGGCGAGGCTTTCACAAGTCAAGGGTTCGAGGCGCACAATGGCGAGAGGGAGAATCGGTCTCCAAGAGTCAAAAACGTTCCATCTCCGATACTTTTTTGTGTAATATTGTTGTAGTTGAAGGTTTTTGAATAGGGGGTCTTAGGGTTATTGAATCGTTTACAGGCTGTTTTCAGCGTGGGGAGTTGTTGAAACTACCGCCAACCCCGTTTTCAATACGCACTCACACATACACACACACACACACACACACATTCGCACACACACACTGACACTCAAATAATATTTGCACACTCACACAAAGATAGAGACACATATATGCACACACACATATATACATGAACACAATAACGCACTCACACAAAGATACAGACATACATATGCACATACCTATATACACAAATGTTATATTTACCCACTCACAAATACATAGAGATACACATATGCACTCACATTTACGCTCTCACACTCACACACATGCACGACACGATACGACAAGACACACCATCTACCCCCC